TCTCCTCCCTCCTTTGTTCCCAACCCCTTTGTCCCACATCTCATAGCCTTAGTCTGAGATGTGGAGAAGGTACTAGATGGTAGTTTTGTAAACAGTGAAAGAAAATTCTTTTGCTGGGATGGGAGTGAAGGAGGGTATGATCACAAGGTGTGGAATGTGGGAAGAGGGGAACTGAAGGAATTTCATATCGATGACCTTTGCTTTCTTCATATACAAAAAAGTCAAGATTACCTTGTCAGGAAGGGGTAAAACATGGAAAGTAGCCTGATAGCTTGGGGAGAATGAAAATGGTTTGGAAGGTCCATGTGAAAATTGGGACTGATTTAAAAGGTACAGATGCCTAGATAATATAAAGTTGTATTTTGCTTATAATTGTAAGTGGAAACTTGATCATTGCTACTGGGACTCTGTTTACAGGGTATAGTGAAATCTAGAATTAGCTATTATTTGATTAATTTGATGAATGTTTCAAATTAGGAACACCAGGTCAGAGTATGTTTCCGACCTAAATTATACAGCACAGTTGTCTGCAGTGATCAAATTAACCAGCTGATTGCCAAATCTCTATTTCTCTCTGTCCCCTGTGGACATAGCTTAAAGGACTAACAAGTGAACTGGACTCTGCCCCAATCTATTTTGGGATAATTGATGTCTTTGTACTCGTATCCCAGCAGCTTGGTATTAAACACTGAAGCTTTGTGGAGAATATGTCAGTAGGCGATTTACTACCTCAAAATGCAGTCTTTCTCTTGTAAAACTTACCAATCAGAACTTTGGAGGATATTTTCCAAACTCCCTAGGACAATTATATTTTATTGCTTTGGAAAAATATTTGATTCTGTGCATTTGTTTCACGAAATGTATTTGTTTCATATTCTAAGTATTTATGAATTTTTGTTTCTGCCTTTATGAACTACTGGAGAGCAATTTCAGTTTTACTTTAAAATGGTTTTGGTCCTTACAAGTATTTGTTTACTGAAAGTTGCTTTTCTTCTAATGGAAAGTATCAGTGATTTTAACCTCTAAATAAATAAGGAAAATCAATGAAGATGAAGAAACATTTAGTTCCTTACTGTTGAAATATTTCCTTTCTAAATTGTTGATGTGATGCAGACTTTGGAGTGAATAGAGACAGTTACTGAGGCAACTTGCTTGAGCTCTGAAACCTATTTTGTGTAGTGTAATTCGAATGCTTTAAGAATAACCTCAATACTTCGGCTTTCCTTGAATGTGCTTAAACAATGTTGTGACATGACATTTACTTAGATGTGACAGTGAAGGAAGCAAGTGGTTTTGCTCCGGCTTGGACTTTTCCCTTCAGAAACTCAGCCCACCTCCCTTCTCTCAAGTATTCATTAACCTGCAGGGCAGTGATGGTGTCGGGTGATGGTTGAAGAAGACCAGACATAAGTTATCCCTCCTCTCATAAGAACTTACAGGTGTCCCCCATTTTTCAGAATGGAGTTACTCCACTTTGCATTAACAGTAGACCTACATTAGTACTTCTCTTCACTAACTGGAAGAAATCTTTAATGAAAAATGAAAATACCTTCAGTATTAGTTTTTCAGCCACCATTGAGAAGCAGCATGTACCCAGAACAGCGAGAGAGGCACCACCACGCTCCTCAGCAGGAACTACTTGAGATAGGTTGTGTATTCTATTGTTTCTGCTTTTACTGTAAGTTAATCTTATTTTAGGCTTTATGTGTTATTTGGTATAATTTAGCAGATTACTTTTTGGGGTCTGGGAATGCTAAAATTATTTCCATTTATACTTATGGTAATTATCTTTTTACATCTTTGTGGCTTCTTAAAGGTTTTATAGGACTAGTCTACTTTGGGATAATGGGGAACACCTGTACAACGTGTTGATGTTTGCTGGCAAAGCAAACTTTAACAAACAGTAGCCCCCTTTCAATTTAAATATTGTTCAAATACAAGTGCATATTGGAAAGTGGTCAGTTAAGCAGCAAGGAGCTGTTTCTGGTGTTAAATATTTGTCATAGCTCTTACCAGTTGTAGAATACATAAACAAGGACAAATTTAAAATGACAGAATTTATCCTTTTGCAGGATTTTAGTCTGTTCCTTGTCCAAATCTCAGAATTGGCAAGAATGATAAGTTGGACTCAGCCTAGTTATTTCCACAGCAGCTCAAAGGATACATGTACCACCGAGGATTCCCAGGGATGCCTAGGTGCCACTGGTTTCAGTCTCCCATTCAAAAAACTGGTTTCTGGGATCCTCTGCATAGAACCTAATTTCTGTTAGAAACTAGAAATCTAGATTTTTTTAATGGAAAATTCTTTTCTAAATTCTGGCTTCTAAATATTGACATCTCAGATACATGTGTTGAACTGGGTCAAACTCTGCCTGAGGTTTCTTGGTCTATAACCTCTGACTGAATGGTTTCCAAGGTCTGAATTTCTAGTTAAAAAACCAGACGTCACCATTCTCCTTAGAGGCAGTGCTTATTTCACACAAGGTAGAACATGTTCCTTTTCATCAGTTAATCTGCTGTCTTCTTTTTAAGTTTCAAAGAAATTATAACAAACTCATATAGTAGCCCCCCGCCTTATACAATGACTTAAGTTCCAAGACCCCCAGATGATGACTGAAACCCCGGATAGTACCAAACACTCTGTTATTTTTTTCTTCATCATTACATACTTTCATACCTATGAAAAAGTTTAACTTACAAATTAGGCATAGTAAAAGCAGTAACTAATAACAAAGTAGAATAATTATAACAATATGTTGTGATAAAAGTCATCTGAATGTGGTCTTTTTCTCAAAATATTTTATCAAATGTCTATTTTCAGACTATAGTTCATCTTGGGTGCTTGAAAACACAGAATGCAAAATCACAGATAAAGGGGGATTAGTGTATTTGAACAAAGTAAGACACAACTGAAATCATCCTCAGACATCTCTACTGCAACTTTTCTGGCTAGAGTAGTCTATAAGACCACATTTGCTGCATATTCTAATGCATTTCCTTTCCAATGAAAATTTGCTTTGATTTTTATTAATTTCAAAAGTAAGATTTCTCCTATTTTAGTTTCAAAAAGGAAGGAAATAACTATTTTGGACAGTTTTTCTCTAGGGAGTATTTAATGAAACGATGGTGAAGTCTCACAAGTGAGGTCTCCATTTATCCTGAGAGGTTGTAACACTTGCTGTTTCTCTTTGATTTGGGTGTGAATAAAACAATTTTAACAGTAGGATGAAATCATGCTGGAATGGAGTCCAGCATGACTGTCATCTCTGAACCAATTTAGTTCCATAACTGATGCTGTCAGGGACATATCAAGACATATGCTTCAAGTGGTGCATATCTTATGATGCTTGTTTCTCCACAAAGTAACAGAAAGCAATTGTGATGCATCCAATAAACTTCTGTTTATACTGGAATGATACAACATTAATTGATGAATGAAATCTATTTTCCTTTCATTCATTTATAAAATAAACATTTACTGGGATCCTTCTTATATTAAGATGCAAAGATAAATTAACAAAATACTGGATAGTTCAAGTTGTAGCGCACATGTGTCCATTAAAATGGTATTTTCTCCCCACTTGCTGATAGCAAATGATTTAACTTTGTTGTTTTTTTTTTAAAGATTTATTTATTTATGCATACAAGAGCTGGGGTGCAGGCCAGAGATGCGGGGGGTGAAAGGATTCACCAGAGACAGAGTGGGGAACAGAACAGACAGACTGACTGAAACACACTGCTGAGGGGAATAGTGGGCGAGACAGGAGAGGTCTGCAGCTCCATGTGGGTTGCTCCCTTGGCTGGCAGGGGATTGAAATCGTGCTGGTGCTTAACCCCTTGTGCCACCAGGGAGGCCCCAAATGATACAACTTTGAATTGTCATGTAGGAGTAAGAGAAATGGGAATAGCCCTTTTCACAGGAAGATCCTCTTTCCCATCCTCTATACTTAGCATCTTCCAATGTCAGCTGAAAGGTTTGTTACAAACTTGCAAAGGTGTCCTGAGCAAGAGTTCCTGAAAAGTTTGGGAAAGGCTGCTGCTGCAAAGGTGTCAAATAAGTTCATGTTGGCTGTAGAATTATACTTAAGCATGATAGAAGTGAAAAGAAAACCAGTGAATAAATTCTTGTGGTTAAGGTTAAAAACTTAACATTGTATGGATTGAACATTGAGTGTTTGCCTAGAGTGCTGTGTTCTTTTTTGATTTCCCAGTTAGCATTTCAGTGTGGATACAGAAGGTAGAATTCGAGCCAATCAAGTCACATGGAAAGAAGATAATGTTGATGATACAGGGGCAGACAACAAGAGGAGAAAACTCAGACTTTGGCAAAAGCCACATTATCCAAAGAGCCCTGTAAGTTTTGCCCACAGTTCTTCCTATGTTATAATAGTGAACATCTACATAGCACTTGGTGTGTGCCAGGCAGTTCTCACATTTCTGTACAATAAATCAAAAATTGTTGCATAGAAAATAGATACATAGACAAGAGAATTTTAAGTTGATTTTATAAGGCTTATTTACATTTTTCTAACCAACTCCATTTTAGACTTGGGTTAAAGACCCAATTTAAATATCATTGATAAGAGAAATCCCAATCCTAAGAACTAATGGTCACTTAATCACCAAGTCAATGCCTAGATGGAGTTAGCCAGATAAACACCCTCAGGCACGTGTTGTCAACTATCACCTGATTCAATTGACCACTAAAACTTAAAAATTCAGAAGTGTCTTATCTTTGCTATAGCATAAAGCACATTAACATTTTGCACTTTTTTTTAGGGCTACCAATATGAACAATAATGATCACAATGATGTGCCATGAGAGAAATGATCATTTAAAACTTTTGAACTTTTTTATAGCAGAGAAATTGTTTGTTGGCTCCCATTACCTGGTTATATAAAATGTGTGCTTTTGCATATGTATGTGTGTTAGTATGTTTGCCTACATATGTGTTCATGTTGTCAGTGTGGGCATGTTCACATGTAGTTGGTGACTTTGTCAAAGAGACAATATGAGAAAACTGCTGCTGCATAGTCTTAAAATCAATCAAGACTTGCTGTTGGCTTGTAGACGTAGATGGAACACTGAGATAAGAACTTCTAGAATTTCTCACGCCTAAGGACAACACCCCCCCACCCCATGCAAAGGGGAAGGGAACCAAATATACATATTGGGGATCAAAATGTCCTAGGTGGAGTGAAAGGAGAAATTCAGACACCGAAACCAAGAAAGGTGTGACATGAGAAAGGTATAACTCATTCATTACCAAGAAAGATAATGAGAGTGGAGAGAAGCAGGAGTTGGTGAAGGGTAAGAGGTGGAAGGGTTAATGTTGGGCAAGGAAGGAAATTGAGGTTGTTGATGGGCATGAATTCCCGTGAGTCAGACTTGCTTTGAATTCCTGGCTTTTTCCTCATTCTATTCCTGGTCTTGTCAGAGCTTGATTTAATAGATACTGGCTGAGGTGATCCTAAGAACTCTTATTTTGTTCTGGCAGGTAATTTTGCTAAGTAGACATTTACTACATATTGAATTCAATAATTGGACCATATTTCGATGTTTCTTGACCAATCCCTTTTCTCTCTTTGCACTTACATATGGCTTGCCTTTTAAAGAAATGAAAGTCTTCCAGGTGATAGAGCCTAAATGTTTTATAGAACAATGTAAGTACATCAGAAAAATTTGTACATTAATTTATTGGTTCAATAAGTATTTTTTCAGACTTCGTACTAATACGCACAAGGGACATATGTGAACAAATCAATGGACCTTTTCTCATAGGAGTTACAATCTGGTGGGGAAGAGTTAACTTTTTATTGTTTGCACACATCCTATCAAGCAAATTATTTGAACCATCCTCTTAGGTTTCAGATGCACTCATCTAATATGAAAAATTCAGAAATTCAGTTGGGAGTAGCAGTAATAGAATTTGAATTTATCTTTGGGAGCAATCAGTCATAGAATTTCCTAATGCAGTGTCTTTTTGACACTGGAATGGATTTCAGGAATGGGGTTTCAGAACAAGATGACAATGGACAATGGAATGGATTTCAGGAATGGGGTTTCAGAACAAGATGACAATGGACAATGGAATGGGATTTCAGGACAAGATGTCAGAGTTCATAAGCCATCTTTCATATTTATGAGAAAAATAAATACTAACTTAGTCCTCAATTTTTAATATATTCCATAGAGTAAATCATAATAGTTGGGAACATAAAATTATTTTCTTGCATACCTCAAAAGTTTGGTTCATTTTTATCAATTGCATTGCTCAATGATAAAAGTAGTAGAAAAACGATTTTAAGGTTTGAATTGATGTTTTTTCTGTATTTTTTTTTACTGAGGTAACAGTTTAAAACACTACATAAGTTAGGCCAGTATCTATCACTCTTTTTCAAATGTACTTTACCAGACAGCATCCACCCACCAAAGAACCCCTGACACTCCACCATAGTCCATTGGGTCCCCTCCTCCTGTTCTGCCCCATCCTTTGCCTATAATAGTCTCAATGCTGCAGTCATATTTGTAGGACTTGGTTTAATTTTGTTTGTTCCTTTGTTTTGTTTCTTCATATTCCACATTTGAATAAACTCATCTGGAATTTGTCTTTCTCCTTCTGACTTATTTCTTTTGTCATAATCCCTTCCAGTTCCATCCATTTTGTTGAAAATGGAAAGGTTCATCTTCTTTTACAGCTGAGTAGTATTCCATTGTCTCTATACCACATCTACTTTATTTACTCATTTGTCATTGGGCACTTAAGTTATTTCCATAACTTGGCTATTATAAACAGGGCAACAGTGAATGTGGGAATGCATATTTTTCTTCAAATTAATGTTTTTATATTCCTTGGATAAATACCAAGGGACGAAATTGCTGATTCATATTGTATATGGAAACTCCACACTGTTTTCTGTAGGAGCTGGACCAGTTTACATTCCTAACAACAGCAGTGTCTGAGGGTTCCTTTTTCTCTACGTCCTTGCCAATACTCGCTTTTTTATTTTTTCCCACTTTGGGCCATTCTCACATCTCTATTTTAGCTCTTCTGCCATTTTTTTTTTCATTGGGTTATGCATTCTCTTGTTGAGTTATATGAGTTCTTTGCAGGTCTTGGATATTAGCCCCTTGTTAGCTATATGACATGCAAATATTTCCTCCCATTCTGTAGGATTTCTTTTAATTTCAAGGAATGTTTCTTTTACTGTATAAAAGCTTTTTAGATTGATGCAGTCTGATTTGTTTATTTTTACTTTTGTTTTCCTTGCCTTTGGAGTCAAGTCTCCAAAGACATCCCTGAAGCCAAAAGTTGTGGGGTGTTTTGCCTGTTTTCTTCTATGTATTTTATGGTTTTAGGTCTTACATCCAAGTCTTTAATCCATTTTGAATTAATTTTTTCTGTATGGTATGAAGAAGTGGCCCAGTTTCATTCTTTTGCATGTGGCAGTCCAGCTTAGAAAATTTAATTTTAAGAAGGATAAGAAAGAAATGCAATGCAGTTTCTGAAATCAAAGGAGACTTTTTTTTTTTTTTAATAGCTGTTAAATTAGAAGGAATAGAAGAAGTTGTTACCTGGTATTTCGTCAGGCCCCTCCATTTATTTAAATACTCTTCCAGGAAATGCCACTGACGGTGTGGGGAAACATATAATGAGCATTGGTGGGCAGAATCCTACATGAGGTGTAAAGGGAGGCAGGCCCTATCTTTGTGTCTTTCTTCTGCCACAAGCTGGCTAGGCAGCCTTGGGGCTTACTTAACATCTTTGTTTTCTAGCTACAATTTCATCTTGCTATTGAAAGTTTGTAAGCTTGGGTCTCTTATGGCTGTTAGTGTGGCTCAAGGATTCCCTTTGGGGAACTATATGTATGTCCCCATAAATAGTAGGCATAATTCTGTTTATTGAAATTATTTCTTCCCTGGGTCTATAACTCTATTCAGATTCTCCAAGTAATCTGTGACTTTCAAAAGACTTCTTAAAGAAGATCATTCCAGACTTTTCAGTAGTAACATTCTATGACCAGTGACTATCTTTCTTGATGTATTTGTAAATTTTCCTTTAGAACATTGAATTGTATTTTGCCTTGTCACTTATTTCAAGAAGAGACTCTACCCAAGTTATATAAAAATATGGCTTAGAGACCCTTACAGGAATGTGAAAAGTTCTGATGCTACGGAGACTTAACTGGAAATCACAATTCTACTACGTACAACATATGTAGCATATATGTTTCCTTTAACATTTCTTTCAGTGATAAGCTCTGCTTATTATGATCTTTCAAATTCTTTGTCTTACAGTTTTGAATGACAGTGTAGTAGATTGACAGCTCTTTTCTTTAGACATTTTGACTATATTCAATGATTTTCTGGTTTCTTTTGCTATTGATAAGTCCATATAGTTCTTTATAGATTTATCTATTTCTCCTGATTGCTTTTGATATTTTTCTTTAATACTCTAGTTTCACTCTGAATTATTCTGGATTTGATAGTGTTGTCATATTTTTAGTAAAGTGCTGTGCTATATTACTGTTTCGACTTCCCCATCAATAGATATTAATATGGAATATCTTTCAATGTCAATAAATATTCACCTATCATGTCAATTTAGATGACTTCATTTCTATATAGTTGGACATAAAAATACTTAATCTCTTTATTTATCAATAAATATTCACCTATCATGTCAATTTAGATGACTTCATTTCTATATAGTTGGACATAAAAATACTTAATCTCTTTATTTGAATAAAATCATAAACACATGCTGATGTCCTGAGTAGCTCACTGGCGCACTGAGGCTATTCATACTGTCTCACGGAGATCTAGCTGTGTGAATTTATTCCCAGTTCCATATTCAGTATGTCATTTTGGCCCAAACATGGGTATTTGCTATGAAAATTGCCTAGTGTTGCAAATCAGGGCTTTTTTTTTTTTTCCTGGCAAGCTGTTTCTTAAACATTCACCAGCATATCACTAGTTATCTTCCTTCTTATGGACACTTGTTACTTCTTGCCAACAACCATGATACCCATCTTTTGAAAGCTCAGTAGGTCTTGCGTAGGTCCAGAAACACTCCCAACTTTAACAAAAAGTGTGTTGGCATTCTCAACCCTACCAATGAGAGGGCCATAAATTCATTGGTTCGTTCATCTACCAGTGCCTTTATTTAATGAATATTTATAAAGGCTAATATGGGCCAAGCAGCATGTAGAACAGCAAGAACACACAGGCAGTATATCTACCATGCCAAGTCAGCTTTACTTCCCAGTGCACTTATTTCTACCACTTAACACGATGATTGGTTGGGCTGTATTCCTGAAGCCCAGTGTGCCTCAGCCTAATCTTTCTGCATTATGACATCCATGTTATTATGGGAAGATGTGGCCAGAAGCCAGGCGTGGGTTGGTTGCTTTTGTTTATAGACATGCACTTAGCAAATACTACTTCAGCCTTCTACAGTAAAGATTAGCAGGACCCATTATTTATATATAAGCTCCTAACTTGACTGTCTCTAAATCAATAATTCTAATTAAGTCTTCATTTACAGAATTATACATTTTAAAGTTAATTTTAAATGTTTAGGAGCTGATCTCTATTTACTGTAATTCCAATAAAGTAACTTAAAAATTTAAATTCTGGGGACATTAAGTATTTCTTCCACTGTTATATTTTTATGAGTTCAGGATAAATTAATAAAAAGCAGACAATTAAATCATCCTTAGAGTTTACATGGTCTTAAAATTAAGGCTAGATATATTGACAAAATATGTCTTGGCTTTTGCCAAACTCTCAAACTCTTAAAGAGTTTGAAACATTTGTTGAACTGAAAATGTGACTAAAACTACTAATGTACTATTTTACCAGTATAATTTCTGTTAAAACAAGACAAAATTTTTAATTGATATTCTATATTTACATAAATATGATAGCTAATATTCTTAGATTTACTAAATTAACTGCCATCACAAAGAATGAGGTATTTCATAGATAAATTATAAATACCTCATAAGTAAAGCAATATGTTAGTAGCATGAAAATATTTAAAAATAAGTTCCAAATTTGGTTATTAATGAGATCTTATAAGTACTTCAAAATAATTCAGTTTTTATATAAATCAATGTATAGATATGTTACATATTTCTCAAACATTTATAAACCTGTGAGGCAAAACTAGCTTTTGTTTTCAAAGTGGTTTGAGACAGACACAAAATTTTGTTCTAGAATCCTGACAAAGTTATTCAAAATATT